GGGTCACTGGCGCTTTGATCAGTCGGGGAATCAAGAGTTACAAGGATAGAGCAGGAAGGTGGATGTGAGGATTGTCAGTCAGATCAACCATGATCCTACTGAATGGCAGAACAGGCATGATGGATCCAAATGGCCTCCTCCCGTTCCTATTTCATATTGTCTTATAAAAGCATAATGGAGCGCAAATTCTATTACACTGCTGCTTTTTTAAGGATGCTGATTGTTATTGCTGTTAATAAATTCAGGCACGAGGTCAGACTGGGATGTGCTTCTTATAATTTCAGACCAATATCGAGCAATTTTCCTTGATTTTGTTTGTTTAATTGTTTCATGTGCATCATACAATGTCTGCAAGTGCTTATCTGCAGGGTAGTTAAAGGAAGGCATACAAATGTTGGAAGCAAAGATTAGACAGAGTTAACTGAAAGCTTTCTGGGATAGATGGATTTCTTATGGTGGCAAAAGAAGAGGGGCAAGGGTTTTAGGTTGGGAATTGCAGTGAGCAAGGCTGAAAGCACTGCTGGGTGTGATGGCTCAGAGGGCAAGAGGAGGTGATGAGACACGGAGGGAGGATTGAAGGGACAAGGGGAGCCAAAGAGAAATACAAGGAAATTAGAATTGCAGAGAGCGTACCAATACCTGTCTGGACAAAGATACTTCTAACTTCTCAGCTTATTCTCTTAATGTTTGTATTGAGAATCTCTCAGCACCTCATCCCAACCAAACTGATAAAAATCAGTGATTAAAACATTAGAACTCGGAAAATGAGAGGAGTAGGTTATTTGGCCCATCAAGCCTGCTCTGAGGAAGGGTCACTGGACCCGAAACGTTAACTCTGTTTTCTCCTTCACAGATGCTGCCAGACCTGCTGAGCTTTTCCAGCAACTTTGTTTTTGTTCCTGATTTACGGCATCCGCAGTTCTTTCGGTTTTTATTAAGCCTGCTCTGTCATTTAATAGCTTTGGATTGAGACTTTCACTCCACTTTTTGGCCTACCCCTCCCCAATAACCTTTGACCCCTTGCTTCCAGATCAAATGTCTGTCTAACTCAGTCTTGGATATAGTCAATGATCCATATGGTTGAGTTCTGTACTGTAGGGAACCAGGCCATTCTGCCCATCTGAGACATAACAGTGTTGATGCTTGTTAAGAGCCTCTTTTCATCCCTCTTCACCTCCCTCTAAGATTTTCCCCTCATGTACTTATCAAATTTCCCCTTAAATACATGCATCTGTTCTAGTCATTTCAACTCTGTGGCACTGAGATTAACTTTCACAAAGGCCACCAGTAAATCCAGCTGTCAGATATTACAAAGTCTGATGGTGTAGTTTACTGAAGCTCTCAATTGGCATTTTACTTTGTTTTATTCACAGTTGGAGCAGCCTGGTTGGTGCTTATTTAAGCAGCTTAAGATTAACACAGCAGCCTGAGAGCGATTGCTGACATGAGGCAAGCTTTATAACTGCAACTAAAGTAAAACACAGCAGCCGCTGAAGACCTGAGTAAGAGCAAAAAATGTTGGAAATTCTCAGCAGGTTAGACAGCGTCTGCAGAGATGGAAACAGAGCAGATTCTTCAGGTCAATGATCTTTCATCAAAACCTGAATAAGTTAGAGAAGGAACTGGTTTCAAAAAACAAGAAAGGTGTACTTTTATACAGAATCCTACCTCATCCAACATAGCAATAGACACTTCACAGTAGACTTTTTTTGATTCGTTCACAGGATCTGGACATTACTGACCAGTATTTATTGCCCATCCCTAATTGACTAGAGGGCAGCTTGCGGGTCTGGAGTTGTATGGAGGCCAGACCAGGTAAGGATGGCAACTTCCTTCCCTAAAGGACATTAATGAACCAGACAGGCTTTTTCCCCAACAATTGACAATGGATTCATGGTTATCATTAGAGTCTAATTACCAGATACTTATTGAATTCAAATTACACCATCTGCCATGGCAGGATTTGAACCCAGGTGCCAGAACATTAC